TGGAGACAGGTGCAGATGCAGGCGCGCTTGGCGTTGTAATGCAGCGCGGCCGCGAGAACGCTATATCTCGGTCTAGGGAGCATGAACGGTGGGGATGGAGGGGCAGAATTGGAAGAAGCAAAGAGAGGACCGACGAGCAAGCGAGCGAGAGACGGAAAGGCCTGTCCCTGCAGCGACTGGCAGGCAGGCACCTATCAACTTGGGAAGCTACGATGCTCGGAGTCTTGGACCTAGGGAAAGGCACCAGCACGATTCACTAGTGTAGCGCACCATTTGGTTCCAGGTTTTCGTCGACATCTGAGACACTGCACACCTTGGGCTGCATTGGGGAAAGCGACGAGGAGGAGCGTGAAGGGCATTGTTCGGAGCTGATGGCCTGCAGTTGGGTTAAGGTTGAGAAAGAGCTGAGGGTTTTAGCGGGGAAGCTGCCCTGGATAGGTGGTGGTGACGTCCATTCATTTCCTTCCCAGGCACTCGAGGGGTGAGCGGAACGACGAGGCAGCAGCGGCCCACAGAATGCCACAGAGCGGGAAGGACGGCACGGCAGGGCAGGGCACGGCAGGGCAGTGGCACTGATTGGAGCAAATTCTCCGAGGCGCTGAGACTGGCCAAACTGCCAAACCGCCCTTCCCGCTCCGTCCGTGGGATGGTGTTCAGTGTTTTTCTTTTTTTTTCTTTTCTTTTCTTTTTTTCTCTTTCCTTTTCTGCCAGCCGCAACAGTGTCTCACATCACGCCAGCGCACCGACATGCAGCTGCTGCCAAACAGGTAATTAAACTATCAAAGTTCCATGCAGGCAGACAGACAGAACAGACAGACGCCGCACTGAGACGGTAGAAGCCGACCAAACCCGGAATCATCTCTTGCCCGTGTTTAGGGCGCCGTGGGGCTCAAAGACGTCGCTCGTGATGCGGTCGGGGTACGTGACGCCGCCCTGCCTCAGCGCCTCCTCCATGACCTCCATGATAACGATGCTCTCGCTCCACGGCAGCGAGGCGCTCTCCTTCTTCCCGTCGCGCACGCAACGGGCGCACTCATCGGCCTCATAGAACATGCCGTGGCCCCAGTCGCGCGCCTCGTCCTTGGGGATGGGGCAGTCGAACGTTTCGATCTTGCCGCCTCCGTCCTTCTTGATGACCTTGTACTGGAGCGGCCGGTACGCCGGGCCCATGACGTGGATCTCGCCGCCCGACCCCTGGATGCGGATCGCCGCCCCTGCGCTGTTCAGCCCGTCCACGTCGGTGCCCACGCGCAGAGACGTCAGCGCGATGCCCATGCTCTTGTGCTCGGGGAACTGCACGATGATGCTCGTCATCTCGTCGGCCCCCGTGTGGTACTTATTCACGGCCGCCACTACCTTGGGTGTCTCCTTCACCTCCTCGGGCTGCACGTGGTACAGACTCTGGAAGACCCAGGTCAGGGAGTAGATGCCGAGATCCAGGAGCGCGCCGCCTGCCAGGTCAATGTTGATCATGCGGTGGGAGTCGTCAAAGTCCACCTTGCCTTCCGGGGCGTCTCGATTGAACGAGAGGTCGGCGATGGTGCGGTACACGTTGCCGATGGCGCCCGACTGCAGCAGCTGTCGGACCTGGATGCTCAGGGGGAAGTAGCGCGTCCACACAGCCTCCATGAAGAAGACGTTTTTCTCCCGCGCCTTGTCAACGAGCTTGCGGGCCTGCGAGGCCGTCACGGTCAGCGCCTTCTCGCAGAGGACGTTCTTGCCGGCGTCGAGGGCGAGCATGGCGTTCTGGAAGTGGTGGCTGTGGGGTGTGGCCACGTAAATGATGTCAACATCGGGGTCGGCTACCAGCTCGTGATAGGACCCGTAGGCCTTGGTCGAGGCCGGGGCGTCAATCAGCTTGATGAAGTCGGCGGCCCTTTCCTTGGCACTGGACGAGGCAACAGCGACGACCTCGTGGCGAACATCGTGCACGTCGCGGGCGGCCGGGTTGGTGAGCAGATCCTTGGTGAACACTGTTTGTTGGTTGATTCTCATGGTGAGCATGAGCTATCGTCTTGACTTTGAATTTTGGGGCCAGATAAAGGGGTAAGTTGCTCACTCTCAGCAATCCACCCAGTCGCCATGATGCCCCATTTCAGGGTGTAGGGAGATGTCGATGCCATGATTGCGGTGCTATCTGGTCGTAAAGGGGACAAGGTTTGCTTCTTTCTTTCGTGTTTTGCTCAAGTCTGGGTTCTTGCAACACAAGTGCGGTACCTGCCTTTGAGTCCCATCTGCTCCTGCCCGCCCTCAATTCTCCCTTCCCCTCAGTGTCTCCATGGTGGGGTTGCGAGGGGAGGGGCGAGACGGCCAGGCGGCTCAAATAGCCGAAACAGCGGCACTCAGCACGGCAGCGCCATCCGAACCTTACTCACTCTTTGATGACAAGCAAGCTGCCGCTGCCGCTGCTGCTACTTGCTTATTTGCTATGCACGTAGTAGCAGCCCGCCGTAAGCCGTAGGCAATGCAACTATCTGTATTTTTCACCAAATCAGGGTTGGGTAAGGCGACTTGAGTTGGAGGATCGCACGCGGACTGAGCTCGCCCGAATCCCGATTAGTTCATCATCTAACTATCTCATGCACGTATGGCTTTCATGACTACCATCGACGTCATTTGGTCCTGTCGCAGGTCTCATATCTCAGAAGATCGGTGTTTGAAACAAAACTTATCTCGTAAGACACATATGAATGAAGAATGGAAGGCACACCTACTCGGCTACCTTACCTACCTTAGCTATGTAAGGTAAGGTAGGCAGCATCGACTTCCTTCCTTCCAAGTGGTTGTTAAAAAGCTCATCCCAGATGCTGTCTGGCGCACCTTCCTTGTCCTACATGAAGTGAGTGTCGGTCGGTCGGTCGATCCTCTGCGACTTCCTGTCTCGTCCAATAATGGCTCGCCCAACACGGCTCGCCTTTCCCGCCATGCTGCTGCCTCGTCTTTCCACAACTGTTCGCCGTTTAACCTCAACCGATTTAGTTTGCCTGCCATCATCCACGATCCCCGTCCTCTTTTTGCCATCGCTACGTCGCCATCAGCCAGGACCGGTCAGCGCAATGGCTTCCTCCGCCGCCTCGCCACCGCGGGCCGTGATGCCTACCTACATGATATACGGAACCGCCTGGAAGAAGGAGCGCACCGCCGAGCTCGTCTACCAAGCTATCAAGGCCGGCTTCCGGGCCATCGACACGGCTCACATTAAGAAGCACTACGACGAGGCCGGGGCAGGCGAGGGCATCCGGCGGGCCGTGGCCGAGGGACTGGTGAAGCGAACCGATCTGTGGGTACGATCGCCCTTTTGCCTTTCGTGCCCACCAGCACTAACACGCGACAACAGATCCAGACAAAATTCACCCTCGGCGACGACGCCTTCGCAGACACGGCTCGGTATCCGACCCTGACTTCCCAGGTCGATGCCTCGATCGCGGAGTCTCTCCGCAACCTCTGCACCCCGGACCGAGAACCCGCCTATATCGACTGCCTCATTCTGCACTCGCCGCTACCATCTCTGGTGGACTTCGTCGAGGTCTGGTTTGCGATGGTGTCACACTACAAGAGCGGCGCGGTCCGCACCCTCGGCGTATCCAACGTGGACTTGAAGGACCTGGTCTCGCAGTTCTCCGGCGCCTTCAGGGTTGCGGTAGTGCAGAACCGCTTTTCGCGCGGCCTCGACAAGGAGCACAGGTGGGACGAAGCCGTGCGGTCCTGGTGCCATGATCAAGGGGTAGCATATCAGGGGTTCTGGACCCTGACGGCGAATAGTGATGTTTGGGGGAACGGTGGCGCCACGGACCCGGAGCAGTGTGTGGCTGCCTTGGCGGAGAGAGCCAAGATCAGTCCGGCCACGGCGTGGTATGTGCTTCTATTCAAGATGGGCGTGGTGGTGCTGAACGGCACTTCGAGCGAGGAGCATATGAGGGATGATCTGGCGGGCCTTGACACGGTGAAGACGTCTGTTCCGCCGTCTATTATGCAAGAGTTTGTGGCCGACTGCTCGAAGCTTACTCACACGAGTTGGCGTTAGTGGTGATGAGCTCTGGTGTTGGTTCTTCGTTTGGTTTTCTCCGTTTCGTTTTCTTTGTTGTCTTTTGTCGTTGTCCTTCATCGGTACGTTTTGAGTAGCTTTTCTGGCTCGGTGTTGATATGGATAGGTTGAGAAGGGACTGGGCGAAGATGTAAGATGGTTCAGAGCGCAGCATCAGTTTATGAACTTGGACTTTCACCTCGCACCTACCTTACTATTATCATGCAAGTGCCAGTCGAGGGATGCGGTGTCTTTTAAGACTTTTAACGGAGAGAATAGAAACGCTGAGGAAATAATATGGAAATTGGATCCTACCTACTCGCCTGCGCGCTCTCCGTTTACCATAGACTCTTTATCAGGGCACAGCCAGATGTGATCCAGACGGGATATTCTTCCCAAAAACTGTCACCGGGACGCTCAACTCGAAACTCTCTCCATTGGCATCAATCCAAATCATAGGCCTGTTCCCATGTGACACGGGAACTGACAGGCAATAACTCGTTTCACATTCGATAGGTGCAGCGCATGTTTCCACCTGGCTGGCATAGATAGATCCACTCAGTTGAGGATAAAGGTCCAAGAAGAAACTCCGGTAGGTCAGAGGTCGGCTTCCGGTCTGTAAATGGGCATTGTTTAGTGCGAGGCAACTCCTTTGGGACAAACCACCTGAGTACCTCCTGAATGTATCTTAAACAGGACACGAGGGTACGTACTCAGGTACTGTACCTCGTCAGAAGTGACGTGGGACACCAATCCCCAATCCGAAGTGCAACGCGACGCTAGTCCCCACTAGACTAGACTAGCGCCAACGACAGGGTACCCACACCAATGCATACATTCCCCACTCTCATACCCGCAACTCCATATCACAAAGACATACGGCGGGGGTTATATCTCGCAAAAACACAAATATCAACACAGCAACAACTAAAAAAAAAGAGACAACTGACTCGAGAGTCAGTTTAGAACAGGTAATTGGACGGGCTGGGAATCGAACCCAGGACCTTTCGCAAGAGAAGACTTGCTAAGCGAACGCTCTACCAACTGAGCCACACGCCCGATTGTTTGTTGTTTGTTGTTGGAGAGAGGTTCGGTTGAGCGGTACTTGACGGCAGTCGGAAGGGCTCAACTCAAGGGTGAAATACGTACCTGGTAGTAGTGTAGTGTAGATACCTTATATATATGGTTTTTTTTTGGCATACCTGACTGAGTGTTTGAGCTAGGCAAGTACTTACCTTACTCGAGTCTACTCCATTGCTCTCTGTATATCAAATTAGAAAAGGCCGGGCTGGGTCAACTTAAGCTGAGGTATGCAATGTGAAGGGCGGTTTTGTGTGTGTGTGTTTCTCTTTTGTCTTGTCTTGTACTTCGCCTCGTGCCTGACGTTGCACACCGTCTTTAATTGTCGATCGACGAGACACAACATGCACTGACCTGTCATCACTCCCCAGCATGTCCAGATCAAATACGTCACCTGTCGACCTTCACAGGTAGAGTACACGCCCAGAAAACAAACCGCACCTTGCCTCCTCTCCGCTCAACGAACAGAAACCCAGACATACCAACCACGGCTAGATGCCAATCTCATATATACTACCTGACCAAGTAGGTATACTCGCAACACTGTACATGCACTTGATACCTATCCAACGACTGCACCATATCCCCCGAACCCAGAGGCCCAACCAACGCCCCCTATGCACAACACGCCTCGTCTCGTCCCGTCTCATCACTACCCAACGCCAAAGAATCACCGCAATTCCGCCATGAAAGCCGTCGTCGACTCGTTGCCATGCACCTTGCCATGTCCACCACCATGAGTTCCATGCTGAAACGCCGCCCGGTACTAAACACATTCACACAATCGTCAGCCAAGGTCTTTTATCAACAAATCTCACTCTCATTCTTTCCCTCCCCCACGCCTCAAAAAACAAAATGGGGGGAAAAGGAGTCGGGGAAAAGCACTCACCGCAAACACAAAATTCAGAATCAGGGCCAACATCAGCGCGGCGCTGATAATAAGCGGTCCAATCATATTATCAAAGTCCTTACCGCTCCGCTGCAGTATCATGCCGCGCCGCTTGTGCAGCAGGAAATACCCCCAGCAGCCCGCAAAGATGGCGACCAGGATATACGCGACGCCCATGAGCTCGGCGATCGTGTTCTTGCCGGCGGCCGTGTACAGGCTGATGGCGAGCCCGCCGAGCAGCACGCAGATGTGCTGCCACTTGAGGAAGGTGCGCTCGTTGGCCAGCCACACCTTGGGCTCGATCTGCAGCGGGCCCGCGTTCTTGATCCACTCGACCGGCTCGACCACGCCGGCCGGGAGCTCCACCTCGCGCGCCCGCTTCGCCTTGGAGTACTTGGACAGCGAGAATCCCGGGAACACGGACGAGAGCGTGCCGTAGTCGCGCCGCTCGTCGCCGTTGGCACCGCCCGAGGGCTCGCCTGGCTCGTCGCCCACGACCGGGGTCGCGCCGTACGTGTGGGTGCCCGACTGGGGCGTGGCGGCGGCCGCGGCGTTGTCGGCTGCGAGGCGGTCCGACAGGTATGATTTGGCCACGGGCGAGCTCCTGGACGGCTTGTAGGACCCGAGCTTGGTGCCAAGGAAGCTGCCGACCACCTGCTCGTTTTGCGCCTGGTTCGCGCGGCGCTCTTCTTCCTGCTCAAAGGCAACCTGGGGGTCCTTTCGGATGTCGGTGTCCAGGTCGCTGAGCCAGAAGGGCAGGCTGTTGACGTGGTCCTCGAAGAGCGAGGCCACGCCGTGCACGAACTTGGAGAAGCGCGGGGACGGGTGGACGAGATAGGAGCCCATCAGGTCCTGGATCCAGGCCGGCCGCTTCCGCGTAGCGGCGTTGTCGTCCTTCAGCTTGATCTCCAGCACGGCGTAGGGGAAGCGCGAGACCTCGCTCTGGTTGATGTTCTTGAACGGGTACGTCATGCCGCTGCTGTCGATGTCACTGCGGTGCCAGTTGCTGGGGTCGCGGCAGGGCCGGTCGCTGTCGAGCGTGTCCTCGCGGATGAAGGCGATGTCGGTGTCGATGGATATCCTGACGCGATCGTCGCCGGGGTTCTGGAAGGCGGTGCGCACGTAGTTGGCCCGCACGACCGGCTGGAGCTTGTTGTCCCGGACAAAGGCCTGGATGAGGTCGGCGGTCGAGCGGAACTCCTGCACCGCCTCGGCACTCTGGCCCTGGCGCTCCATCTTCTGCACCGTCTTCTCCATCTTGTAGTCGCCGTCGAGGAAAGGCTTGACGTACTTCTCCTTGATGACAAACTTGCGCTCCTCGCTGCTGCCGTTCTCGTGCACCATCTTTTGCTCCAGCGAGATGTCGGGCTTGCCGTTCAGCTGGCCGTACCACCGCAGCCGCAGCGACGAGGCCTCGGCGTCGCGCTCGACCTTTGTCGAGTACAGCTGGAAGCTGCGGTTGTCAAAGTAAAGCGACGTGATGGTCGGGTCCGCGTTGCCGTCCACCTCCTTGGCCGACTGCTCGCTGTAGACCAGCGGGGGCAGCCGCCGGAGGATATAGGTCTTGACCTCGAGGAGGTTGTCGGGGTGCACCCAGAACTTGTGCGCCGTGTACCGCTCGCCCTTGTGTGTCTCGGGCTGCGTCTCGAGGTCAATCGGGTACGGCTCCGCGGCGCCGTTCTCCTCGAGGTGTTGGCGGATGGCGTAGTACATCAGCGACAGCTTGTTCAGCATGGGCGAGTAGCCCTGCTCCGAGTTGAAGGGCCGCTTGGACAGGCTGACGCGCATCATGGGCCGGATCTTGTATCGGTCGCCGCGCTTCCGGTCGTGCTTCTTTACGATCTTGAGAAAGCCCGTGTAGTTCAGGTTGCTGTACTTCTGGAGCTCCTTGACCTCGTTCGTGATGTTGTCGAGCTCGCCCTCGAGCTCCTTGAGCTTGGCCGTCAGGGTGTCGTCCTTGGGCTGGCCCTCCTCCACCGTGGGCAGTTCGCCTAGCTTGTCAAAGGTGGCGTCGACGCGGCCTCGCAGCTCCTTCATCTTCTCCTCCTGGAACTGGGCGACCTTCTCGAGCTGGGTGTTGAAGATCTCATCACAGAAGCGGTTCTCGTCCTCCTCGGTCCAGGGCTGCTCGTCCTCGTCGTCGGGCTTGTCTTCGCGCAGCATGCTCTTGAGCTTGGCGTAGTCGATGTACTTGTCCCTCCATGGCGCGTAGACCGACGTCCGCAGCGTCTTGCCGAAACGCATGATGTCGATCGATGATGTCGGCTGATGGTCGGTCCTGGCCTTCCTGCAATGAATAAAAAGAAGAAGAAAAATAACAACAACAATAATGATATTTGCAGTGGCGCTTCTCAAATTCCGCACACACAGTCGAGTGGCAGCAATCAGCTTTGATGGCGAATGCAATTCTGCTCCGAGGAAGAAGGAGGAGAGGGAGAAAGTGACCACCAGCGAGGCGATTCCGAGGCTCGCCAGGGCAACCAAGCCAGTCCCCGAGCACCGTCCAATACCACCAGAATACGGTAATTTACAAGATCGATATCGGGCTAGGAAAGCTTGGAGAGGGATCACCAAGGCCTGTGCTCGAGCTCGGAGCCCCACCAAGCTTCAAAAGCTTTGTGCTTTTCTCGCCCAACTCACTCCACGCACGGCTGCCATTGACCAATCGATAACGCACGTGCTCCCAGCCGAATCTACAGCATTTCTTGTCAGCCAAGAGAAACACAGCGCAACTGAGGTGACTTATACGGCCCTCCGTGACCATTAACCACACCTATTTGTAGCTTCATTGGTTGGCCGCCTGCGACTTTCGCTCAAAGCTTTGGATAAACACCAATCCGAACCATAACTATGCCATTAGCAGGCTCCTAAGACGGCCTCGACAGTTTATTTCTCCACGAAACTCGGATAAATAACACGCACATGACACAAAGTTCGGTTTGTGTAATATAATAACCCGTATGCCGATTGTATTCTAAGGAAACGGACTGCCTCGCTAAAATACCTAGTCAACAGCACCGATCACCACAACGCCCAGTCACTCACTCGGACACGCCATCGACCACAAAAGCGGATTCAACTCTTCTCGCCATGCCTATGTCTGTGTTGAAACAATACAAGCTATCCATAATTACACCGACGGAAGGAATGCAGAGAGCCAGACAGCGGTAGTAATTAACTCAATGCACCGAGCGCACAGATGCAGGTAACCCTTTCTTTCATCGAGAAACACAAACGCCACAGGAGACACAAAAAGCGAAGAAAAAACACACATGGACATGCACGCCTCATCCAAGTGTGCATCAATCAAATCAAACAGACCATCCATCACATTGCAAGGCACCACTGACTGCAACCCGACAGACCTGAGATATGGCCCACACTCGTTCGTTATGAAACCCAAAGAATTGCTGTGCTGATGCTTCTTGCTTGAATGGTATCAAAAGTGAGAAAAGGACGTGAAAAAAACATCAACATGAATAAAACACGAAAATAAATCACCGCTAGTAAAAAAAAAACCGACCAACACAACGCAAACCAAAACGCAAAACCAAAAACCACATGCGCTGTAGTAACCCGACCTTCTCTCATCCGTGTTGAACAAAAACAAGATGCTGTTGCCAGTTTTGGTTTAGGCTTACATGGTCATACACCACGACGACTGACGGCTGCTTTAAGCCGAAGCCGCCGCCGCAGCAGCAACAAAGACCTCCTTGGCCGTGTGCTTGACAATACCACCCGTGACGGGCAGGTTGGTGTTGCCCTCGAGGTACAAATCGACCTCGCGTGCCGCTTGGCGACCCTCATTAATACCCCTTGAAGCAAAGTTAGCTAGTGTTCATATGACCAGGTATCTATTTAGAGAGACCACTTACCAGACGATGAGCGACTGTCCACGACGGCAATCACCAGCAGCAAAGATGCCCTCGACGTTGGTGCTGTACTTGCCCGGCGCCGTCTTGACGTTCTTGCGCGCATCCTTCTCGATCTCGTCGCCAAGGACGCGAGCCTCGGGTCCCAGGAAACCCATGGAGAGGAGGACCAGGTCGGCAGGGAAGAACTGCTGAGAGCCCTCCACCTTCTTCATATC